TGCCTGACTTTCACAAGAACCTTAAATCAAAGTCCTCCTTTAAAAAAGAAGCGTGTTAGCTAAGTATCTCGTTGAGAAGAACTTTTATTTTACATTTTTTTTTTTTTTTTTTTTTTTTGGTACCGGGGATTGAACTCGGGACCTTGCACTTTCGAAGCAGGCACCGGAACCACTGAGCTAAATCCCGGCCCTTATTTTACATTTTCAAAGATTTATCATTTCAACATCTACTTTCTTGGAAGTATTCTAACAATGTTAGCCTGGAGTTTTCTTTGTTTCTTTGTTTTCGTTTGGTGGGGGTTGGGAATGAATGGCTACATGAAATGATCAATACCTATCCTGTCATTAATCATGGTTTGTTGATAATCTCAGGCAAACTTGGTTCAAGCTCTTGTTGAGGTCATCACTTAGAGAAATCTCCCTGACCAGCTTTATCTGAAACAGTCGCTTGTCAGATTTACGCAGTGGAAGGATTTTTGTCACAACAGCATTTATGGTGAGGTGCAATAGTATAATATACTCATTTGCTTATTATCTGTTTCCCAACAAGCCAACACAGTGCTATGTCTCCAGAGCATAGCATAAAACTGACAGAGAGAAGACATAAAATTAATTCATTTTTGTGAGAAACAATGGGCTAGTTAAATGAATTAATTAATGTATGGTAGAAAATCTTTATAATGAGTGCAGTCTTTGCTGCATTTATTTTTTAAAAGAACTTTGGACTTGGAGTCAGGGCTTGATACTTATCAACTTTTTGACCTTGGACAAGTGACCTAACACCCTGATGTGCATCATCTGTGAAAAGAATATAACACCGCCCCCACACTTCCTGTTACAGGACTAATATGAGAGCTGAATGAGTTAAACTCTGTAAAATAGATGGAGGCTCATAGGCATGTGGAAGACATCCATGTATCATTTAAAATCAATGCTATACAAGAGAAACCACAAGCAGTGTGAAGAGACAACCCACAGTGTGGGAAAAATCTTCACCAGCAGTTCCTCAGACAAAGGTCTACTATCTCGAATCTATAAAGAACTTAAAAAATCAGACCTCCCAAATTTAAAGACCCAATCCAAAAATGGGCATCTGA